GTTGCAGGCCAATGTTGAATGCAGCTAAACGCGACTAACTTTGCCTGCAAAGCTATCGACATTCGCGGAGGAATCGGGTGGACAGTCAAGTACTCATTCCACGGCACTTACTGCAGTGATATCGAGTGCAGGAGTGATATCGGGTGACCTGATATTCTGTCAAATTTCTGCTTATTGCACTACACGAGGATTGTTAATAAAAGTGAGAAATCAAATGGACGCCCAAGTTAGCATCTCTACTTCATGATGAAGGGACTTTTTCAGCTCTACTAGACATTTTCGGTACGCGCAGCGCGGGAATGCTGTCACATTGATACCCGACCTAACTAAGGTGCTTCTTGCTCGTACATGTTCAAAGACGATGCTATCTTCAAGGCACTAACTATACAGATGTCAGAGAACGATTTATCGCAGGTAGCATTTTGTGAGGCACAAGTTCGTCTAAGGTCTTTGTCTGCTCTAGTCAAATTTTATGTCAATGAATGGCAATATGGATGTGAGGACGAATCAAAGATAAAATATTTCATTAATAGAAATCTTATTTAGGGCAAATGATGAGATATTTCTATCAATTTGAAATCAGCATTACTTGATGTTTTTTTTCTATTTCTTAGTATTATTTGAACATTATTTTGATAGAAGTGCTTAGATGAATTTGATGTATGAATTTCCTTTATGTACCAAATTTATTCGTAGAATTTATTGTCATATATTTGCATAGGAGTGTTTTCTTACTTACCTTCAACATCAACTTTCTCACTTCTTCAGGGGAGTCAGCCAGTGCATCTACCCAACTGCTGTGCCAAAAGTCAACTGCTGTGCCACTAATCAACTACTGTGCCACTATTCAACTGCTGTGCCACTAGACAACTGCTGTGCCACTAGTCAACTTCTGTGCCACTAGTCAACTATTATCGTACCTAATCATGTTTTGTTCTTATATATAGTTGTCGACTGCTTAAACTCCATGTGTAAGGCTTTACGTTTTACCCAAAAAATGTTATGTAGGTAGTTAGAACCCAGCAGGCATTCGGTGGTTGAATCAACGTTGAATCAACTACACATTACGACCTTGAGATCGGGGTGAAAGGAGGTTTAGAATGAAAATTGAAGCAACATCTTTCATGCAACGTCGTACTGACGTCACAATTCAACGTTGAATCAATGTTGCTACTACGACGTTGCTGCAGCGTTCAATTCTATGGTTGAATCGACGTTGAATCAATTACACATTACGACATTGATATCGGGGTGAAAGGAGGTTCAGAAATGAAAATTGAAGCAACATCTTTCATGCAACGTCGTACTGACGTTACAATGCAACGTTGAATCGATGTTGCTACTACGACGTTGCTGCAACGTTGAATTCTATGGTAGAATCGACGTTGAAACAACTACGCATTACGACATTGAGATCGGGGTGAAAACAGGTTTAAAATGAAAATTGAAGCAACGTCTCTCATGAAACGTCGTACTGACGTTACAATGCAACGTTGAATCGATGTTACTACTACGACATTGCTGCAACGTCAAATTCTCTGATTGAATCAACGTTGAAGAACCAATCTGTTTTTCGTCCGTGGCAGGATTCGAACCCGGGATCGCTGGAGACCGCGCGACGCCTTGGCAACTTTGACCACGGCAGCTCGCGTGCTAGAGCAATAGAAATAAGCTAAAGAATTGTTCGACTCCTTGAAAATTGAACTGCATTCTCTGGTCATTAATCGTACACTTATATATATGTATCTCAGTCAATGTTGGTGTAATAACATTAGTTCCATGCTGGTAAATAGCTAAACATTCAACGTACCGATATCGACCATTTTTCAACGTTGAAATAAGGTTGTTTTCCATCTTTTCTAGTTTTAGTCAGATTTCGACGTTGATCGGACGTTTAATTTTGGTTGTTCAGCATTTCAACCTAAAATCAACATCGATTGAACGTTTAAAAATACATAAACATTCAACGTACCAATATCGACATTGTTTCAACGTTGAAATAAGGTTGTTTTACGTCTGTTCTAGTTTTGATCAGATTTCGTTATTGGTCGGACGTTTAAATTTGGTTGTTCAGCACTTCAACCTGATATCAACATTGATCCAACGTTTGGAAATAAATAAACATTAAACGTACCAATATTGATGCAATGAAGTGTTGCTGCAAATTTCCCACTACTGTATGTCAGACTACGAAGTTTAAGTAGGACCGACTCTGACGTCGGTGTTGAATTGATTATAGCCGTCAGATACTATGCCGATCCCGACTTGCGTCCTGGTTCCTCTCTTATAGGATTTTGACTCAGACGCCAGGGTAAGTTGCTGCTTTACTGGTGAAATTTAGATTGGAATACTAGATGGAATATCGTGATTTTTGTCTATATAACGACTTGTCATGCGTAGATATTTACTTTGTTTTCTGTTGTAGGATCGTGCGTTTTCTCAGATCTCAATACTCCAGCTCTCTCCTCGCATTTTGCTCTCATCGCACTTTAACTTCCTCCGCATTTAATTTGTTAGTTCGTTTCATATGCCGCACCTCTGTAAATCATTAGTGTTATTTGTTTATATTTTTTTGCCGTTTATCTTTAATAAACTTAAAACGTTTGTTCGAGTAACTATCCGCTCAGTCCAAGCTCTTGCTGATAAAACCAATAGGGAAGTTGCATTTAATTTCCGGTCATTGGTGGACGTGACAATTAGACCATCCGAACTTTGAGTGACGCGATTAATTAGCTATTATACAAGATTAGTTCGTCACAATCGACATTGTTTCAACGTTGAAATAAGGTTGTTTTACGTCTGTTCTAGTTTTGGTCAGATTTCGACAATGATCGGACGTTTAATTTTGGTTGTTCAGCACTTCAACCTGATATCAAAATTGATTCAACGTTTAGCAATAAATAAACATTAAACGTACCAATATCGACAGCGTTTCAACGTAGAAATAAGGTTGTTTTACGTCCGTTCCAGTTTGGTCAGATTTCGACGTTGATATGACGTTTTATTTTGGTTGTTCAGCATCTCAACCTAATATCAACATTGATTCAACGTTTAAAAATTAGTAAGAATTCAACGTATCAATATCGACGTTGTTTCAATGTTGAAATAAGGTTGTTTTACGTCCGTTCCAGTTTGGTCAGATTTCGACGTTGATCAGACGTTTAATTTTGGTTTTTCAGCATTTCAACCTGAAATAAACATTGATTCAACGTTTAAGAATTAGTAAAAATTCAACATACCAATATCGACGTTATTTCAACGTGGAAATAAGGTTGTTTCTCGTCCCTACTATTGTTGGTCAGATTTCGGCGTTGATATGACGTTTAATTTTGGTTGTTCAGCACTTCAACCTGAAATCAACATTGATTCAACGTTTAAAAATTAGTAAACATTCAACGTACCAATATCGACGTTATTTCCACGTTGAAATAAGATTGTTTTACATCCGTTCTAGTTTTGGTCAGATTTCGACGTTGATATGACGTTTAATTTTGGTTGTTCAGCATCTCAACCTAATATCAACATTGATGCAACGTTTAAAAATTAGTAAAAATTCAACGTACCAATATCGATGTTATTTCAACGTTGGAATAAGGTTGTTTTACGTCCCTTCTAGTGTTGGTCAGATTTCGACGTTGATATGACGTTTAATTTTGGTTGTTCAACATTTCAACCTGAAATCAACCAATAATCAACGTTGTTTCAACGTCAGATGCCTGCTGGGAATGTTTATATGCACTTAAGGTTCTAATAAACGGCCCGAACATGTAAATCGTTTTATTTCTGTCAAAATTTGTTTTACTTGTTCCTAATTACTATCTCAGAATGACTGCATTAAAATTCGTTTTCTAATTTAGTCGGTGTACGTTGTTATATAATTCCCCATGCCCTCCACAATTATTATATATAGATCCACAAAGTAAGGATGGTATATATAGTGAAGGGCGTGGGGATTTTTTTTGCTCGAAATTCACGTTCGGTCACCTCTGGCCGGCGGGAATTTTGCGCAGCGGTCCCGCCAATCGCGGCAACCACCTTCGCGATAGCGCGGAAGCTGGCAGTGCTTGCCGGCTGGCCTGGTCGCTCGCGGTAGGACAGACTGACTGCAGCATCATGCCCTTTCCAGGCCGAGAAGCGCTGCCGCAATATTGCGCTGCTGTGGACATTCCTGCGCTGTTGACCACCCTGGCGTTGCGCTGGGGCGAGCGTTGGCGCAGGCAATTTCACCCGCGGCTGGCTTCCAGACTGCGGCGATTTCTGACTGGGATGTGGTTAGAGAAGCTGTTTTTAGGCCTCTTTTCTAATTCGAATCGCAAATTTAATGCAACGCTCATCTAATCGCATCAGATATGCGATTAGATGAGCGTCGCGAAAGGATAAAGAGTCGAGCACAACAGGGCGCCTAATTAATGGAAGAAAATTTGTCTGATGATCAACGAGCGGCAGACAAACGAGTGTGCTTCTTTTGAACGTAGCGTTACCTGCCGCACTGCATGCCTTGCTGTGACCAGCGCTGTTGCTCAATCAAACAAAAAATACTGGCAGTGGTTTAATTGAATCTAACTTTATCTGAAATAAATGTTCTCTAAGTGATTTAGTTACTGAGAAGTGCTTCTCATACAATGCAGATGTTTAGACGAAGTGAACGCTCAAGTATGTCACTAGCTAACCTCCAGTGATGGAATCTTTAGCTCGCCGTACCTGCACCACGGTCAGATGAATGACGAACTTATTCACGATGCATTCATCTTGATCTGATATGCATACATACGGAGGATCAGGCAATGAATACAAATAGAATCTAAAAAAAGTGCTAAGCCGAAAGCAGCATTTTCACCAGTGAGGCAGTGACGAAATCAACGCATGAGTGCGGTAATGAATTTGATTACTGATAAAACGACTAACAACCAAATTCCCTGTTTTAGTTTGGATTATTTATTATTATTTACTATAAAATTATTTGATCAATGACCTTACAGTTTGAATTATTCTTCAGTGAAATGAGCTTCAGGAGGAAGTTGCTGACGGCGCTTGGTGTGTCTTGCTTGTACCTCGTGCTGGCTGTTGTATACATGGAGTCGAAAGCGCTGCCCACCTCCAGGTGAGTGAGCTACTGCATGCCATCCAAAGAGGAGTGGGCTGCCCACCTCGAGGTGAGTGGGCTACTGCATGTCATCCAAAGAGGAGTGGGCTAACTACGAAACCTTCTTCGCCAGGTGAAATTCACGTTCTCTACATCACATAAGTAATTTGTTCGGCAGGATGAGTGACACGAAAATACTGCACTTGCGTGCTACGTACAAATCAGTTCTTCAGGAAGGTGCAAATTATAGCTTATGAAAGAAAAGCGAGATATACAAAGGTTACGAACCAATGATTATTCACTTGTAAACATTTCAGGAAGAAGATGAAAATTAGAGAACCATTAAATAAGTGATTGGTCTAAGGAAAATATTCGACAGCAAAGAGTGACCCAGTAGTTAGAGTTCAGAGTGCCATGATTTAAGCCGTGAGTTGCGGGTTCAATGCCCCATCAAGCTGTACGAATTCTGAACAGTCCAGATTTGACCCTGTTTAACTCTGACATCTCAATTGTCTTAACTCATATGAATTAGATATATATAAAGAAATTATTGTTTTTACAGGCTGCACAAGCAACAGTGTGAGGTGAACGCTTGTGTGGTGACTCATGACCGCTCACAGCTCAGCAGCGCTGATGTTGTGGTCTTCCATACCAATGACTTTCTGCAGTCCACTCCGCTGCCAGACCCCCGACCTCTAGCGCAGCCCTGGCTGGTCTTTTCTCTCGAGGCTCCACCAGGTAGGAATACAATTACTAGGGCATCAGTGGAGCAAAAAAGCATAACTTACACCAATATAACATTTTTGAATGGACATGGACCTGATAACGATCATATTCGGGAGCAAGTGACACCACACTTTTATATTCAGTGAACACAATCACTTGGGTCGTTCGGAGAAAAAAGCTGTCTCTATGTGGGCATGAGGCGGCTAAAATCAACATGAGACTTTTAATTCGTATAGGAGAGTTCAAAAATTTATCTGCAAGCTGTAACATGAAATGAATATGTAGCATTTAATAATCTTTGGGAAATATTTCCTTTTGTTTAGCATTTAAATTAATTTTGTTAGGTCAATGCTATTATAATGGCTTGTACCTACTGAGTTAATCGTCTCCGAACCAGAGGCTTTCGTGGGGGAAGAAAATTACTACGCGTCTTGTTAACGCAAAATGCTCTATGTAGACAGAAACATTTAATGATATTACAATGTTAAGAAGTACAATTTTGCCAAATTACTACCCAAGTGACGTAGATGGCTAGTGTAGCAGCAATTAACTAGGATGCCTGATGTTGGCATTGTTCTGATGACCCATTAATAATTTTAGGATTATTCAAATCATTGTTTGAAAATATATTAATCTTTCAATTATCCATGGAATTACTCCATCATCCAATTATGTATTCAATCATCCAATTAATTATGCTAGGCGTACCATTCAGCTCTGATTGTCCCACAAAATTGGCGGTGCACTGCTGCGCTCGCATAAGGTTTCAGCGGCAGGTCTTCCCAGAGGCAAGGTTAACCTAATAATGATTCCGATTTACTAATGAAAGTTAACAAATAATAAATTTAAACGTACACAGGGAGGCTGTTAGAAGTTTATAAGTTTTGCCGCACACTTGTTTGAGTACGGATGATGAATAATGATAACTACTATCAGCAAAAGTAACTAAATGATAGCAACAATTTACTAACAAAATATCATAACATAGTTTAATAAAGCGATGCTTGTTTCGCGAAACGAAGTAAGGCTTCAATTGTGAAATTGTATCTCGTTCATCGCTGAATTTTTTTTTTTTTTTTTGTTCTTAATTGTTTTTACGACGTTTCTCCCACATGCAGGTTGTTTGCAAACGCGGTTGCAAACTGTTGCGGATACGATGCTGGTTATTGCTATCATTGCCTGTACACCGAAGAGAGTCTTCGAACCTTGCGTGCGAACATTGGCATAAACGTTGCATGTCCAGGGTGAAGAACTATTTTCAAACGCGTTTCGTTTAATGAAACAAACGGCACCAATATTTGGATAAATACTTGTTGTCAGTGTCCATACTCTAACTTTGAGTTTGACTTCCTCAATTTGGTGAAAATTTTATAGCCGGGCACTGAAAACGGCAATTAATATTGCGAAATATGAAACTTCGATGTAGAAAATCATGCTAACACGCGTGTCATACTAAGTACTTCGTCGAATGCTCTTGAACAAGCGGTCGTGAAGAGCTCAGGCGATGTGAGCGGTCCTTTGCATATTTTCCAACGGTTAAAACGCTCTCGCAAACTTGTGTGAACGTTCGCAAACATTGCACAAGCGGTTCCATGCGTCTAAGCACATCAACGTTCAGTTTCCATCACGCATATAAATTAATTGGTCTGTATTAAACTTGCTGGATAAATGAATTCTTGTTATGTTAGCTTTGTTTGTATGGCAGTGCAGACAAATCGTGGCATCGACTGGGGCCGCCTCAACAATGTCGTGAACTGGACGATGTCGCACCGACGAGACTCCGATGTCGTGGCTCCTTATGGCGTTGTCGTGAAGAGAACAAGTAAGTGAATAGATCGAGACCGTGACTTGTGTAATGAAATATTTTATAACGAAGCCTTTTTGCGCATATTTTGTGGGATGATAAAAAATGTGAAAGGGGAATTTAAAGAGAATATTTTGAAGAGAATAATATAAAGTCACCATTATTTTGCTTGGGGATTCAAGCTGTCGCTTTGAAAACGAAAAAAAAGTCAATTATCCCTTCGCGTCAAATTCATGTTATTGATATTTTACAACGATTCAGAATTGACCAGGAATACGTATGTCCACTGCTGGTGCCGCCATACAAAATTGAAAGAACAAACGAGGTGTGTGCAATAATTTACCTGTAGGCTGTAGTACAACGTTTAACAATACATACAACCATGTAAAATATGAAACAAATATTAATGTAATTTAAAAGTCATTTCTCGCAGTACCGGAAATCTGGAGACGTGACCACGACTATACATCCGGAAAAAAATTTGAGAAAATGACAGCTTGGATGGTGAGTCACTGCCAGACGCACAGCCGCAGGGAAAGCTACGCTGCCGAACTAAGCAAGTAAGACAACTGCAGTTTGGTACGACAACTGCGATAACTCTAATGTATTATAAATATAACATAAATGATGATCCACTTGTGTCACCGTTGAATATAAGGCCATATCTGGTCAGTCGCCGTCGCTTGTTGTCGCAGACAGACTTTCTACCGCAAACTGATTCTCGAACCCTCTCATTTCATTTTCCTCACGCCCCTCCATCCAGCGAATAGATAGATGGCTTGTTTACAATAGCAGACTACCGAGTTCAGTTGTCGTAAAAAGAAAGCGTAAAACACATCTTAATTTGCTGCTCACTGGTTACCTTAAAATGAGACTGTAATTACTTCAACCCATATCTCTTCCGTTTAGCCAACTTATTAATTATCAATTAACATTCTTCTACGTGGTGCAGGTACATTCCAGTGGATGTGTATGGTTCATGTGGTAACAAGAGTTGTGGATTAAGCCTCGTTCACCGTAATATAGGGAAATTCAACAGCCGCGACTGCGACCCGGTCATAGGAGAATACTACTTCTACCTCGCCTTCGAAAACGCCTTGTGTGAGTAGAGACTGCGACCAGTTCACAGTAGAATAATACTTCTTACCTTGCCTTCGAAAACGCCTTGTTTGAGTAGTTCTGTCAGTAATAGCGATAGTTAAATAAAACTATCGAAGATGTTTCAAGCGTCGTCTCTAATTCCGTAGCTCTGAAGCTATGTGTTTTTTAGACTGAGCGTAGGCTCCAGAGGTAGTTTGAGAGTTAAATTTGTGACCATCGTCTGTGTTACCGTTAGCACGAACAGTTGTTGGGGGGCTTCCAATCTCTTAACGAACGAGTGTTCCCAGACACAGAGCACGTGATCGTTCCTCACCCAATACTTCAGTAAACCAACACTTTACTAAACCATGGATTTTCAATATATATATAATAAAGTAAATATAATTAGCGAAGAAATAATAGAATCGTAAACAAACCTAATACCCTAAAACCTAAACCCGAACATTGTGTTTCAGTCCAATTCCAATTTCCACAAGTCCAAAAGTCCTTGTCCAAAAAAAAAAACGAAGCCTTCCTGAAATAAAACAAAAATAACACATGGAATACCTAACTAGAGAATATGAATACATAATAAACAAATTAATAGACACAAATAATCAATATAACGATTCACTCTGGAATTGAACAATCACAAATATAATCACGGAGCAATCGATTAACGCGTCTCCACTGCAAGAACACGAGATACAATAATAAATTCAACGCCCCACTGCTGGAGGTCGCTAAGGTGAATGAAAATTGAAAATGATAAACCAAAATCCTAAACCTACTACTACATTGCAACTTAAAAGTTATAAATACAGTAATTACATTTATTTCCTCTACAATGTAGCGTTACAGTACATGGTTAGCACGATCAGGTAGCGTTATATACGGTACATGGATAGCACGATCAGGTAGCGTTACGGTACATGGATCAGCACGATCAGGTAGCGTTACGGTAAATGGTCAGCACGATCAGGTAGCGTTACGGCACACGGTTAGCATGATCAGTAAGCGTTACGGTACATACACAGCACGATCAAGGAGCGTTACGGTACACGGTTAGCACGATCAGGTGGCGGTACGCTACGAGTAAACTAAGACGTGGCAGAGTTGCAGTACATTATTACCGCATCAGGTTGCGTTACACTACGAGTTTACTAAGATTTAGTTGCGTTCCAGTTCAAATTTAATACGATATGTTAGCCTTGCTTTACCCCTAAAAAGTATGGTCGCCACAGGTGCCGATTACGTGACAGAAAAGCTGTACTTGACGTTGACGCGTGACGTGGTGCCTGTGGTGTTTGGGGGTGCCGACTACCATTTCTATGCTCCGCCAAATTCAGTGATCAATGCTCTGGACTTTGCCACTCCTAAGCTGTTGGCGAACTTCCTATTGGCAACCGCAAACAATAGGACTGCTTATAACAGGTAAATCTATTTGCATTGGGAACGTTTTTGGCGGTTACAATCGAACGATAATGTTAACGGCATTTTTTCTACTAGCTATTGTTTGCCCTTGCTCGGTGGTTCGCCTCCTGTGGCGCAAGGGGGACTCGCCCGGGGCCAGCAGCTGTCGGTCCCTGGAGCGGCAAAGGATCCACCAGGGGGCGGGGGGCAATTTGGGATCAAGCCGCAAGGGGAGATGCCCAACACTCCCCCGCTCACAACAGAGGAAGATGGGACTAGCCGCCCCGGACCCCTCTTTAAAAACTTTCAAGGCGAGGGCCCCTCGGGGGCCCGCATCAGTGCCTGCCGGACAGGCTGGCAGCGGCCCTTAGGGTGATTGGACAGGACAGGCTGGCAGCGTTTTGGACAGGCTGGCAGCGGCCCTTAGGGTGATTGGACTCCGGTCCATTCACCTGCATCCCGGGCCGAGGAACTGGAGGTGGCGAAGGGGAGTGGGAGAGAGGCGAAGAAAAGAGAGGAAGGAAAGGCGTCACGAGGGTCGGAGGAGGAGGAGGAGGAGAGAGCGAGAGAGAGAGGATGAGGTTGTGGATGGGAAGCAAAAGAGTGAGAGAGTGATTGTGACGTGGAATGTGCAGAGATTATCTATAAGAGAGCACAATAGGAGGCGTTTGTGGAGAGTGGGAGAGTGATAGAGAAGATTGTGAGGAAAGGGTGGGAGATTGTTTTGTTGAGTGAAATAAGTGCGGATGATGAGAATGTGTTGTGGCTGGGAGAGGATGAGGAAAGAGTGGTGGTGGTACATGGGAAGTCGGCTGTAGTTTTGAGGGGTGAGGCTTTAGAGGTGAGGGTAGGAGAGGGACAGAAGAGATGGTTTGAGGAGAGAGTGACTGCTGTGGTGTTGGGAGGGTTGCGTCTGGTATCAGTGTATCAGCCTGTGTGAGGAACGAATGATGACGGTATGAAGAGGTACAGAAGAGCGGTTGAGAATCAAGTTGCGTGTGGTGGAAGTGAGAAATTGATTATAGGGGGAGATTTTAACTCGAATGTGGAAAGAGGGAATGAAAGGGAAGGGGTGTGCGGAAGGTATGACATTGGATATATGAATGAGGCAGAAAGGGATCTGATTGATTGGTGTGGGGAGCATGAGTTGGAGTATGTTAATAGCTACATGAGGTATAAAAGGAGAGGGATGTGATTTAATGTGAGGTATGGTAGATGGTACGAAATGAATGGTTTTGTGATGAGGAAGTGTGATAGGAGGTGGATGGTAAGAAAGATGAGGACGGATTGAGAATACGAGTTGTCGGACCACAAGCCAGTAGTGATGACTGTGAGAGTGAAGCGGAGAAGATGGAGAGTGCCAAGAGGGAATACGAGGAGAGTGCCAAGGATAAAGTGGGAGGTGTTGAAAGAATGGGAGAAGAGGAGAGAATACAAGGTGGAAACAAATGAGAGGATGACTGAGGCAAATGAGAGAATAAATGAAGGTAATAAATAGAAGGTGCTTGCGGAGGTGATGGCTGAGGCGGCGAAAGAAGTATGTGGAGTATGTGAGAAGGGGTTCAGAATCCCTGGACAATTAGGTATGAAGATGAGCTAAATGCGTTGAATGAGAGGCGGTGCGTTTGAGAAATGAAAGGGTGCAACTGGTGGGGAATAGGAGAAGGCTGAGGCAGAGGAGAGATGGCAGACTGATGGCGAGGCTGAAGAGAGAGGTGGCTGGAGCGAGAGAGGAGGTGAAGCAGGCGAGGAGAGCTTTGCGAAGACGGTTGAGGCGGCTTGAACGAGAGTGGTGGGAGAATAAGATTAGGGAATGTGAGGAAGCGTACGCGACAGGCAGAGTGGGAGACATGTACAAGTGTTTGAGGAAGATTGGCACGAGGGGATGCAAGGCGGGAGCGAGTACGAATATCTGTGTGAATGAATTTAAGGAGCATTTTGAGCGAGTGACGTGCGTGAGGTATGAAGAGGAGCCGAGAGTGATAGAACGGGCGGTAAATGGTGCGAGTGTCCTGCGAGAGTGTGAAAAAGCAAAAGAGGCAAATGATCGACTGAATGAAGTGTCTGAAAGAGAAGAGATTGTTGCGGCTATGAAAGATATGAAAGAGTCGGCGCCTGGGGAAGATGGAGTGAGGATTGAATATATTAAGTGGGCGGATGAAGGAGTGAGAGACAGAGTGATTGAGTTGGTGAGAGAAATGTTTGTGAAGAGAGCGGATGCTTGGGATGAATCTTTGAAAATAGGCGTTATGATTCCGTTATACAAGAAGGGTGATAGGAATAACTGTAATAACTATAGGGGGGTATGTCTGTTGAGTATGGGGAGCAGAATACTTGCGAGGGTGATAGCGAAGAGAGTGGCATGGTGGGCTGAGTATTTGGGGTTGTTGGATGAGGAACAGGCAGGTTTTCGAAAGGGTAGGTCGACAGCGGATGTGGTGCAAATGATGGATCGTATGCAAGAGGACGTGGTTGATTTGAAGAGAATGGAACTGAATGAGAATAGGGGCATAGATGAAGAGGAGTGGCCTGTGGCGAGACTGCTGGATTTGAGAAAAGCGTATCCGAGAGTGAACAAACTGGGTTTGTGGAGGTTGCTTGAGAGGTATAGAATGAAAGGGAAATGTCTGGATACGATTGTGGATCTGCATGAGTCGACTGTTTACAAAGTGAGAGGGAAGGAGGGAGTGAGTGGAAGCTGGGTGCCTGCGAGAGGTCTGCGAGAATGGTGCTCCACGTCACCCATCTTGTTTAATGTGTACCATCAGGCGGTTATGAGGTAAGCAGAGGTGGCGAGAAGAAGCGGGGGTGAAGAGGTTGGGGTGACGTGGAGATGGGTGCCAGGGGGTTCGTTTGCTGGAGAGAGTACATGGGAGATGGGGAGTAGTGAGTGTGTGAGAGTGAGAGTGTCCTTGGCTTTGTTTGCGGATGACACTACGATTGTGGGTGTGAAGAGTGAAATTAAGAATGATGTGAGAGCAGTAAAATAAGTGATGAATCAGTGGGAGGAACGAAACACTGAGGAGAAAGAGGAGGTGCTTGAGTTTGGGACGGAAGAGGGGGGTGAAATCAGAGTACTTGGGAGCTGGGTGATTTCGGAAGTGGATGTAAATAACAGGATCAAGAGAACTGAAAGTTTGTGGTTGAAAGTGAAAGGGTGGCTGAGAGGGTCGAGAATGTCTAAGAAGTGTCAGGCGAAGGTGGTGGAGGCGTGTGAGGGAGGACGCTGGGGGACGAGACGTTGACGCGGTTGTGGGGGAGGGGAGGAGGAGCCGGTGAGAGCCAGCTGCAGGAGGGGGAAGGTCGCTCAGTGTCCGGGGTGCAGCAGGGTGCTGTCGGCCGCCAATATGGCGAGGCACCAGAGGGCGTGCCTGGTGTGGGACCCTGGGGAGGGGGGGCAAGTCCCTGACGGGGATCGACGGCCCGGAAATGGAAATGGAGCTATTGCTTGCAGCAGCTAGCAAACCGCGGTAAATGATAATCCTCACTTGGATTTGGTTATAGGGCTTGCAACTCCACCCCAGTAACTTGCATGACCGCCGCGATGCACCACTCATTGCTACTCTGACATGACGGGCGAAGTTTTAGGCCGGATTCACATCATACTACCAGACATGTGCCAGTCACGGTCCAGCCCAATATTGTTAAGAATAAGCACCCTAGACGTTACTGGGGTGCGTTTTCTTAACAAGAACATTACTGAGGAGTGTATTCTTAACAATGTTAACCGAATGAATAATACAAACGTATTAGGTTTGCCTGAAAAATTTTTTTAAAATTACAATTCAGTGTAAAAAATACATTACGTTTTATTGTCAGGGATATACTAGGGTGCGTTTTCTTAACAAGATCATACTGAGGTGTTTATTCCTAACAAGAATATCTTAACAAGATAACCTTTACTGCACTTCCATAGAAGCGTTCGAGCCACGGGCATGGCAGGTGCCTTGCACGACTGGTGTCAATGCTTCTACAGAAATGCAATACAGAATATTTGATTGGACAGGAACTGACACCCTGTCAAAATTTTCGTGCCGATTAAGGTCGTTTTAGAGGTACTATATTCGGCTTAGGGGTGAATCAGGAGCAAGTCGGCCACGTAGGGTGTTTTGCTTCTATTTACCAGCCTCTTTCGGAAGTCAATTGCCCGGTAGGCCAAATCTGCGTAATATGCTTAAAAAGAGCAGCTGGTCCAGCTTCGTCATGATGCCCCTGGTCAAACGCTGATGACGCTATCGCACGATCGGGCTGATCAGTTGCTGAACAAGATAAACGCACGAACAATCGAAGTTCCCGCCATACGGGGGTATGTGGGGGTCTACCTCCCGCACCCCCATCCGGACAGAGCATACCGTTGCAGCAATTGAATAGGAAGGCGCCAGTTTGAATCAAACCTTCAATCGATCAGTACGTGGTGAAGAGTGCTCATTGCTCAATGCTTATCGAAAAGGTACTAGCCTATTATAGTTTTGTCTCATTCAGAGAGCTTTAAACAATTTGATGCTTTCAGAGAGCTTTAAACAATTTCCTTAAATTATGACGTATTTGACTGGAAAATTTAAATTATGAAGGAAAATTTGTTAAGTTTTAAGCTCAGATTTCGATGGAACTGCGCAGTTTTCCCGCCGGCTCCAAAACTGCGCAGTTTTCCCGTCCACACGCAACGTTTTGTCTGCAACGATTAGAACTGCGCAGACAAATCGTTGTGTAAAACTGAGCGTGTGGACCGGGCTTAATACTGCTTCCTGACAGAGTGCCGCACAAATATACGATATTCTCTCCTGACATTATTATAATCATCTATATGGTCGGTTCAGTGAATTAGCATGTCATCATATAGGGGGAAGATGAAATTCATAGTTTAGCCAGTGAAAACTAGTACGTGACGTGGGCCCGTATGCTAAATAGGGCACTAGCACTACGAAGTAGCACTACGCACTACAAGCCGTAGTGCCTACTATAGTGCGACATGGAACACCACGGTTGGCATGCTAAATAGGGCACTAGCACTACGAAGTAGCACTACGCACTACAAGCCGTAGTGCCTACTAGTGCGAAAGGGGAACACTACGGTTGGCATGCTAAATAGGGCACTAGCACTATGAAGTAGCACTACGCACTACAAGCCATAGTGCGACATGGAACACTACGGTTGGCATGCTAAATAGGGCACTAGCACTATGAAGTAGCACTACGCACTACAAGCCATAGTGCGGCATGAAACACTACGGTTGGTATTCTAAATAGGGCCAAAAGCATAACGCGCACTACTAAAGTCTGAAGTGTCCTACACACCGCACTTCACGACGACACTACGGTATATTAACCTTGTTTACTTCGTCAGCTATGGATCTGTTTGGCTTACAGCAAAGGCATGCATCATCGCGTAAAAACTTCAGAAACTACATGCCATGAATATAAAAAAGTGTACCGCTTCAGTGAACAACATATTAATCTTATGGCTGACATTTTCCTTGGCGAAACAGATGAACAAAGTAGAAGTAGAAAATACTTTTCTTGTTTTTGATACCATGTTTTGAATTTTCTTTTTTGTTTTTTTTCTGGAGTCATTTTGAATTCTTCTGCAAGAACTTTCCATGCTTTTCTCTTTTGTTAGATGTCTTTGAGAAGCGTGGACTTGAAATATATGATGGGAAAGGTGCGCATACGCATTGCGAATTTCAGCTCACCATCACAATTTTCACTAGTACCATTACCATCACAATTAGACATTTTACATCAATCTTCTTGAAAGAATAAGAATTACTTAGCGAATAATTAATTATTTGAGCGCTTAATTACAATTCTTCAGTAGACTCATAGCGTAGTGTGGCACTATAAAGTACTCTAATAGTGAAGTAGCACTTCAAAGTCTTTCTGCATACGAATCAGTAGTGCGACACTAAACGACACTAAACATTGTAGAGCTACTTCGAAGTGCTTATAGTGTCTGTGACGTATTAAGCACACCAACAGGATACTTCGTAGTACATAGTGCTACTCCGTAGTGCTAGTGCCCTATTTAGCATACGGGCCGTGATCAGATTATGAGACCGCAAGTTCACGTGGGCTATGAAAATCCAAGAGCATTTGCCTTCTCCAGCTAAACTCCATTGCCGCGACTGTTGAATATAAAATTTGGCTGATTCAATTCGTAGCTGAATTCCTGAAATTTCGTTTTTGAATTAAGGGGAGCGTCTGGCCAAAATTTTATCTCGGCTATCTACAGACGGATCACTTTGAAACTTGGTTCACATATGTACAACTGAAAAATAGACAGCTTTTATTCATGTCAATTTTTCGCAAAAAGTGAAAGAAAACGTGAAATTCTTAGTCAACGGACATAAAAGGAGGTACTGTAGAAATCTATCTCCTCCTAAAGTTTTGAAGTTACAGCGATGAGACATATACCATTCGATTTGCAATTAAATTATCTATCGATACGACGTAGCTTTTTTTTAATTTCGAATTTTGGTGGATGTGGGAGCATTTTTCCACAAATATTCGAAAATTTTTAACTTTTCCCCTATTTTCCCCCACCCTTTTTTTCAAAATATTTTCAAAACTATAGCAAAATTCGAAAAAAGCTACGTTGCATCGATAGATATTTGAATTGCGAATCGAATGGTATATCTCCCATCGCTGTAGCCTTGAAACTCTAGGAGATAGTTTTGCCGTGACAATAAGTTAACTTTTCAGGACAGCGCGACAAAGTCCCGCGCGCATCGAAATAGCCACTCAATGCAGCAAGGATGCAAAACTAAACGTTACTGGAGCTTGATTCAAGTCAAGGATGGTGGGAGCGACTGCTAGCACAGCACCCCGTACGACGCCAGTCGGGCTACTGAAGCTCAGCTCTAGCAGACACCCTATTTATGTGCACTGCAGCTAATTTCCCCTATTTAATTTGTTAAAGAACTCCCCCACCTCTCTCCCTTGTGAAATCTGTCGTGAGCGCATAAATCAACGTACAGAGATGGTTTTGGTACTGTTGGATAGCTCAGAATGTCAGCTTTAAGATGAGACTAAAAACCGGAAATGCCAAAATCCAAAAAAGTTGACCAGACGCTCCCCTTAAAACTTAATTGTAAAGGAATTATTGGCAATGTGAGTTTATTCTAGTCTTTATAATGCTTTTTGATGTCCATCTGCAGTTACTTCGCGTGGAGGGAGGACTACGAAGTAGATATTGGGGATCCGTTTCGTCCACACATCTGTGATCTGTGCGCCAAACTGCACCAGCATCCAATGGTGCACCAAAATGAGAGGCAAGTTAACTACTTTATCTCTTGTACTTTATCATTAGTAATGGCACTCGATTGCTTAAATCGTAAATTCATCAACATTTGTAGAGCGAAGAAAATTTCCCAACAATTTACCAAATCTTTACTGGAAACGTTTCCTAGTTTAGATCCATCATCAGTTCAAAAAACCTAAAACACAGATACCGGCTGTAGTTAATACAATGGATCAAAAACCCACAGGCTAAAGCCTTAATTTAAAGAAAAAAAAATATATATATATAAGAATTTCGACAATTACCGGACAAAATTGTAACATTACCGGACAGGGGTTAGAAAACCGGACAAAATCGAGTCCGGTTATTAAGTCTGCAATTAGTTTGTACTTAAAAACCGGACACGAATATAAATGAACTACACTACCGGACATACTAAAAAAACGTCAACCTCGTTAGGTTAGGATTAGAGTTAGGGTTAGGTGTGTATAAAACCCTTCTTTACGTTGCTTGACACCTTTTTACTAAGGTTAGGTACAGCCAAGTTAAGTTCTTTTCATTTTTTCAACAATTTTGCTTACGTCACTGGGCCAAAAATAAGTATAGTCCGGTAAAGTGCAATTATCGTTACTATATATTTATATATATATGTCACTACGATAATTACTATACTATATATGTTACTAAATATACTATATATATATATATATATAATATATGTTTGTGTAGTTTGGCAGAAGCTGTTCTTTAATGCAGGTTTCATTGAAGACCAGAGAGTATTTTTTATTGACAATTTTCTTAATTGTTTTTCTCTATTCGGCGAATTAGGCTCTTGATAGGAAGTGAAAATCCAAATATCAGGTTTCCAAGGGACATTTTATTATAATTTTACGGCGTTTCGAATGCAACGTCATTCATTATCAAGTATAGGAAGAGTTTCGCAACAACTGAATTTGAAATTTTGAAATGACATTAGTACAACATATGTATTATGGATACAGATTGGAATCAAAGCTTCCTGACAAATCCGGTAATTTGTAAATTAATAACTGGAGACCCGTGCTTGATGATCAGAGCCTCAGCTATCGCCAGTCTTGTGGCGTCTGGGCATCTCATGATGATTCTGGTGTGGGTCTCCAACGTCGCGCGAGTGAGTGTCTCATTATGAAGTGGTGTGGGTCTCCAACGTCGCGCGAGTGAGTGTCTCATTATGAGCCTCTCTCATGTGGTTCTTCGGTCCTCCGGTCTGGAGGTGGCATGTTAGGCGGCGGCTCAAAGTCGTGCTGGTCAAACCAATGTAATTTACGTTCTGGAGAAGTCTAAAACCTTCTTTGTGGCAGGAATACTTGTAAATAACATTAGTTTGTTGTAATGGGCCAGACTTTTTGCACGGATTACTTTTCATTATTAAATTCTTGATTTTCATATTTTATAATAAATCAGGAGTTTGATTCGGTCGGCTGCGGTCGTGCTTCTGATGTTATTCTGCACGATTGATTTGAGGACTCTTTTGTCAGTCTTGTGGCCTTCAGTCATCTGATTTTGGTAATAAATTGTTATAATACTTTTGTTTGATGTTGGTTCATTTTCCGTTTGGTTTTGTCGTGCTCGATAGTTTAAATTTCATTGTCGATAGTTTTATTCGCAAAGCCGTTGTTTACCAGAATTTGCTTGCAGGTCTGGAGTTCAGTTCTCAAGTCACTGGCCGATGTACAGGTTTTAAATGCTCTGTGTATTAAGGCGCGAATAGTGCTGGTTTTGTATTAAGACGCGTTCACACATTATATGTGTGAACGTGCTTTAGGAAACTTCCGATTATTAGGTATGTTATGCTAATCTCGAAGAAAATAAACTTTCTTCTTTATGTACCTCCATTACTCTTTTATTTCGCCTCAAAACTGCTCAATCATTTCTGCCGCACCCTGTATAAGCTAGCTAACACATTTCAATTGTATATTGTAATCAATATATAACAAATAGTCAAATGGTTAAAGACTACTTATAGCCTTATAAGAATTAGCTAAGCTGCTAGCTATGTACAATGTATTGCAACACTTTGTACCAAAAACATTCAATTTATTGGAACCTAATACAAACTAAAGGCAACAAGTTTATATACCAATTTGTCATTCATAGTACATTTAAACTAAACTATGAATAACAATAGCTCATAATAAATTAAAGACTGACACTAAATATATTTAAATAAAGGAAAAAAAAATAAAAATAAAAAAAATTTTAAAAATCGTGATTTTTTTTTTTAAACTCAAATGATTTAATCACATGATTTCATCATTCTGATTTAATCATTGCCAACCCTGAATTCAAATGGAAACAGTGCAGTCAGTCACTCAGTCAATACTAGTTGGTGTCTTTAGAGGGTAGAGCCCGGTAGATTTATAGGACATAAAACTAGTAGATCTATTGATAGTGTTGTGCACTGTGCTATCAGCTACCTATCTGTTCTGGGACTCTTCAATGTTTAGAAGATCCACCTTCCTGAAGTGTTTTTGTATATTGAAGCCAGTTAAATGTTCAATATTTAGCTTGTTACCTTGCTCCATTCAGGTTTTGCAAAGCTAATGAATAGACTTATCAATTATTGTCTACCCAAAAATCCCAAAGTGGTAAACACCACCTTGGCACATATTGAAGGCAAAAAGTGCCTTTTTAGCCATCCATTTTGGCCCATATACTATTATTGTTAGTAGGCTAATTGCAACATAAAAAATAACTTTTGAAAAAGCTGAAAAATAAAAAAAATCAAATAAATAAAAAAATCATGAAAAATTAATTTTTTTGATTTTTTGATTTAAAAAAAAATAAAAAAATCACCAACCCTGGATTGTATTCATGTTCTAAAATTTTCGAACTTATGATAGACCTGGGTTCTGAAAAGTGTTCCGCAAAGATATGGGGAATTTTGCGGAGTTTTCTTTGCTATTTTTGTATTGCTTAGTCTTTCTTGTGTTTTTTCTTCATTTATTTTACTGCGTTCATTTTTTCGTGTAACTGGAAGAATGCTCAATTTATTTATTACCACTCAGGCTGGCTTTCCGTTTGTTTTCGTCTAAATAATATTAAATAATGTTTTTTTAATGCGAAACTACTTAAGTGATGGTTAATATTAATTTTTATCATGAAAAACAGTATACAGTGAACAGTATACAGTGAAGTATACAGTGAACGCTGTTCATATGGTTCACTGGAGTACATATTTCTTTCATGTAAAATTATTTTGTCGTATTCTCAGTTCACGGCAGCGCGTGGGGACACTTGCGACTGGCAGGCCTGAGCCCCACACATACCCTGACCTCAGGGCCTGGTTCCTGGACCGCAACCCCTGCCGGCGCTGGTGGTTGCCCTCGGCAACGCCATCGCGGCGCAGTGGTTAGCGCTACTCTTATCGCAGTGGTAGCGGCACCGAGATAAGAGAAGTTAGCCGTGGTAGCTCAGGAGCTCAGTTCATTTCTCGGTGTCACTAGCGGGCGGCGATTGGTTGCCGTCGAAGGCGGTGCTTCCGGAATGGCCTAGGGTTGGTTCCCCTAAATGAACTCTGGTACGTGCCACCTGAGAATATCTCATGTATAGCCTTTGTTTGCATTGTCCCTCTCGACATCCTGCCCCCTCGACAGCATCGTCCTCACCTGCCCTCCTCGACAGCATTGTCCTCACCTGCCCCCTCGTCAGCATTGTCCTCACCGGCTTCCTCGTCAGCATGCATTGTCCTCGTCATGCAGAGCTCCAGATTTTAGTTGCAAAAAAAACACCAAAACCACCCTTCAAAATAGCCTCAGAACTATAAGAGTGAACCTAAGAAGGCAATAGCCATCGTGTGACGGAAATATCATTCAAAGGAAACCTACATTTCTTACTATTTAAATTATACATTAATAACTATAATCGGTTTTTCACATAAACGCTGTAAGCCTCCAAGTTACATTTTTGCTCAAACCTTCAGTTGCCCATTTTCTTGCTAATGTAGTGACTTCAATTCGTAACTCGCGCTATTATTTTTTGTAAATGTCATGCATAAATCCTTTTGTTACCTCTAGAACTTTATTGATCACCAATTTTTGTTACAGCTTTTACCTAAGTTATTCGAAATTTACCTTTTCACTAACTAACCAAATTTAAGATATTATATAATTATGTTTCACTGTTATCAATTCTTAAACGCGAATAAAACTCCTGTAAATTCTCACTAAAAAAAGTTGGCTGAACGAAGTAAATACTTTTTAATATTCGAAACAACCCATCTGATATTCGGAGTTACATCGTCCTCACCAGCCCCCTCGACAGCATCGTCCTCACCTGCCCCCCTCGACAGCATCGTCCTCACCTGCCCCCCGTCATCATTGTCCTCACCGGCTTCCTCGCCAGCATGCATTGTCCTCGTCAGAGCTCCAGATTTTAGTTGCAAAAATGGCCTCAGAATTATAAGAGTGAACATAAGAAGGCAATAGCCATCGTGTGACGGAAATATCATTCAAAGGAAACCTACATATCTTACTATTTAAATCGTACATTAATAACTATAATCGGTTTTTCACATAAACGCACCAAGCCTCCAAGTTACATTTTTGCTCAAACCTTCAGTTGCCCATTTTCTTTCTAATGTAGTGACTTCAATTCGTAACCCGCGCTATTATTATTTTGTAAATGTCATGCATAAATTCTTTTGTTACCTCAAGAACTTTATTGATCACCAATTTTTGTTACAGCTTATACCTAAGTTATTTGAAATTTACCCATTCACTAACTAACCAAATTTAAGATATTATATAATTATGTTTCACTGTTATCAATTCTTAAACACGAATAAAACTCCTGTAAATTCTCACTAAAAAAAGTTGGCTGAACGAAGTAAATACTTTTTAATATTCGAAACAACCCATCTGATATTCGGAGTTTGGTTAATAGAACATCAGTGAAACAACAGCAGCGCCTCTGCGTCATTATGTGCTTGGCTTCGTGTGAAGAAAGAAAACTCGTACATGCAGTGTACACTTCTGCATTTGGTACTTTTTTCCTATTCCAGATGAGACAAGAAGCTTTGTCCCGTTTAGCGATGAAAATCAGGACAGGTTTCAGCTCGCGGTGGGAATTCCGGGACGATACGAAGACGGAACGAGACGAGACGTCCAGCACGATATACCTAGGAGTTTCAAAATTTCCACAGCTTTTTTAACAAGACGTACTAGTTAATACTGAATATGTTCTCTTTAAGTTTAACTGTTTCAAAAGTTATATGAACAAACTTTGTCTGTTTACAAAGTTTCAGGTATTTCACCATGACTTCGTTACCGCCCGTATTGCAAATAAAAGTAAATTTTAAGCGTCAGAAAAACCCCGTCCATTCGATCCTGAAGTGACGACTCACGACAGTATTTAAGGGAAATTCATCCATTGTCAGATTTTAGTTACGGTTTAAATTATTTTCTCATAGACGGTATACCGTTACCGGTATAGTTGGCTACCGTGTCGCGTGTGCTGACGTGGCATCCCCGGGCTGAAGTCCGCGTTTGGATACCCATTAATTATTTCGTTGAGACTTGGTCGGAGCGCACCTTCCTTTCACTATTCTCTTGTGACTGTGTAGCGTCACTAGTAAGCGAGTTGCAGTAGCTATAGAAGACAGGATAATTCTGTGTTTGTAATTCAGCTTTTGAACTTGCCAATAAGTGTTAACCGATCCGCCAATATGAATTATTCGCTACTGGTAATTAATAGTGTTGCTATTTATCTGCGTAACTAGAACAGCTCACCCTCATAGTTTGGCAGGATCGATTTCTTGCCTGGCCAACAAGTTTAAGGGGACCTTACAGGTCCAAATCGACAGTTTTGACTTTTCCGGTTTTTAGCCTCATCTTAAAGCTGACATTCTGAGCTATCAATGGTACCAAAACCATCTCTGTAAGTTGATTTATGCGTTCACGAGAGATCCTGCAAGGGAGGGGGGTGGGTGAGTTCTTTATCAAATTAGACCTGGGAAAATTAGCTCCGTCGCACACAAATATACTGGCTGTTGGAGCTGCAGCTCAGTTGCACTCCTGTTGTCGCACGAGTAGGTGTGCTAGCAGTCGCTCCCACCATCCTTGACTGGATCAAGCTCCAGTAACGCTTAGTTTTGCATCCTTGCTGCATTGAGTGCCTATTGCGAGACGCGCGAGACTTTGTCGCGCCCTCCTGAACATTTCACTTTTTGTCACGGCAAACCTAATAACTCCTAGAGTTTTGAAGCTACAGCGATGAGACATATACCCTACGATTTGCAATTAAAAAATTGAGCGATTCTTGAGCCATTTTTTTTCGATTTCGTTTCAGTTTTGAAAATGTTTGGAAAAAAAGGAGGAAAAATTCAAAAGGTGGGTGAAAATTCAAAATTTTTCAGAAAAATCATCATAACAAAAGAACCAAGAAAAAAAATAAAAAATTACTCGATAATCGTTAGATATGGTCTTTACGCATCGAATGATACGTGTTTCGATGTTGTAGCATGTGATTTGCAACAGTTATAAACTTTTTTAGAGTACCCCCTTTTGGCCGTTTTTGGCCGTTTTCTATGAATTTAACGTTTTCTTTCATTTTTTTGAAATTCACATGAACAAAAAAGTCCTAGAATTCTGTTTTACATATTCGTACCAAGTTTGGAGATGATCCTTCCATAAATATAGAAAATAGATTTGGACCGATGAGGTTCCCTAAAGTACGGCTCCTATATACGTTGGCCAACGGCTGCGGTGCTTCTAGAGAAGCGTCCGCCACTTATTCAAGTCTCTACCAGCATATTGTGTCTTCAGCATATTGTGTCTTCAGCATATTGTGTCTCCAGCATATTGTGTCTTCAGCCTATTGTGTCTCCAGCATATTGCGTCTCCAGCATATTGTGTCTTCAGCATATTGTGTCTTCAGCATATTGCGTCTCCAGCATATTGTGTCTTCAGCATATTGTGTCTTCAGCCTATTGTGTCTCCAGCATATTGCGTCTTCAGCATACTGTGTCTTCAGCATATTGTGTCTTCAGCATATTGTGTCTTCAGCATATTGTGTCTTCACCATATTGTGTCTTCAGCATATTGTGTCTTCAGCATATGGTGTCTTCAGCATATTGTGTCTTCAGCATATTGTGT